AGTTGAAGTCCCCCATGAGGACCAGGGTCTGTGACCAAGAGGCAATATTCAGCTGACTGTAGAAGGCCTCATCAACCGCCTCGTCCTGGTCAGGTGGCCTGTAGCAGACACCCACCACAGTGTCTCCCACATTAGCCTGCCCTCTAATCCTTACCCACAAGCTCTCAACTCGCTCATAATCCACTCCCAGGTTGAGCTCCATGCTTTCCAGTTCCTCTCTCACATAAAGAGCAACCCCACCACCTCACCTTCCCAGCCTGTCCTTCCTAAAGAGCACATAGCCTTCCATGGCAGTGCTCCAGTCGTGTGAGCTATCCCACCACGTCTCAGTGATTCCAATGAGATCATGACACTAGGACTGCACACAGATCTCCAGATCGTCCTGCTTATTCCCCACGCTTCGCGCATTGGTGTACAGGCATTTCAGGGAAGTAACTAAGCCCGCAGGTTTCCCAGGAGGGGTGAAAGAGGACCCTCTGTGATCATTTCCTATCCTCACTTCCCCACTAGCGTACTCCCGCTGGAAGCCATCTGACCTAGGCTGCGTGGTACTGTTCGCCGTGTCTGTGTGACACTCCCCTTCCCCCTTCTTGTCTAGTTTAAAGCCCTCCTAACCAGGTTGGCCAGCCTTTTGGCAAAGAAACCCCTCTTGCTGAGATGGTTCCCATCATTCCCCACTAGCTGGTGGTCATAAAACAGAGTCCCATGATCACAGAAGCCAAAACTCTGTTGCCAAGCCCAGCGGCGCAGCCAGTTGTTAATCATCTGCCATATCTGCCTTCTCCTCCTTGAATCCATTCCCCTCATTGGTAGGATAGAGGAGAACACTACCTGGGCTCCCATACCTTTGATGGCCATCCCCAGGGCTCTGAAATCTCACTTGATATCCCTCAGTTTCCTCATGGCATCATTTGTGCCCACATGAAATAGTACCCAGTGGTAATAGTCAGACTCCTGGACAAGCCTTGGGAGCCTTTCTATAACATCCTTTATTCAAGCCCCTGGCAAGCAGCAGACCTCTAAAAATCTGAAAATCAGAAAGTATATGAACCTATTTGGCTCCCTTATATTTTAGTGTCACTTACTAATAAGAAAGAACTTTGCATTCCAAGAATAAAACTGCAGTTCTGTTTTAAAACACAGAAAATCACATAAAAATAGCTATTTTGCTTCATTTTTTTCTATATAATGTGACTTTCCCTGAGCTGCAAAGGAAAAAAAAGAAAACACACACACACATACTCACAGGTTCACACATAACCATAGACTGTAAGATTGGAATTGCCCCTAAATTTAAACTTAACATCAAACAAAGTATTTTAAAGCATGTCTCTGGGAAAACCTTTTTTTTTTTCTGATGTATATTATTTCTATGATCTACATCGCTAATATGAAAACCTATTTGTACCATCTACAATCATTTCTAAATAGTTCCCCCAAAGTAACGTTAAGAATCAGGTACCTATAAAAAGTTTGCTTTTTAAGTTGTTCTCAGCATTCATCTAATGTGCTGTCTTTCAGGTCTGTCTTCTGTTTCAAGACAAATTTTCTGAATCCAAATATTTCAAATAATCTGGTTCCCAACATTCAAGTATAAGTGCCTAGGAACTTAGCATGGCACTTCCATTTCTGCAGAGGAAAACTTGATACGTGAAGAGGAATGAGGATGGAAGGTACGTGTTAAATGATCATTTAACACTCTGAAATGTGGTTGAATTAGATGATATTTATCCCTTTGGTATGACATTCCCTAAAGACAGGACATGGGCCAAAAACTTCCTTTGAAACACCTTAGTAGTAATGTATAGCCATATTTTCCAAAGTATCTAGAACCAATGAGCCACTTGGAGAATAACTATAGATGCTATGTCTCATATATTTCTGATAATATAACTAATGTTACTACTTATTTTCTGGAATTTGTTTTATAATAATGACAATTATATTAAGCTGGTGGACACGCACATTAACAGCAAGTGGAAAACTCACTTGTCTTTAATTTTAGTGGTAATGAGACCCTACTTTGCAAAGGCATTTCTAGGATAAACATATCACACAAAGCACACAAATTGTCAGAGCTAATGTTTCAATTTTATTCCTCTTTTGGAAAAAAAAGAAAAAAAAAAAGATATTTTGTATCAAGATTATGCCTAAAACATGATCTTAATAAAAGCACAAATTTATTCCCAATATACCATTTGTTTTTTGCTGTAGCATGGTATATAAATAGCTTTTTACCCAGGGAAAAGCATTTAACTTTCTTCACATCACTTTCCAGATAGACATCCTACATACCTTTTCAAGACCTTCTTCTTTGAGGCTAATGACATCTAAATCAAAATCTGTCCTTAGGCCATTAGTTTTGTTGAAAGTTATCCTGCCTGTGAGGCCTTCCCAATGGGCCTATGGAGAAAGGAAAAAACAATTTCCGTAAATAAATATCACTCCCTTTACACTCCACCAAAAGAACAAAATTTACTTCTGCCAAAATGGGAGCATTAATTATACATTCTGTCTAAATAATTCACTGTGTGGCAGATTAAAACACACACATATATATATATTTATATTTCATATTCCTTTTTGCTAATTTTCTTTAAGCTGCAGACAATTTTTAAGAGGTTTACATGCTACCCAATAGGCTCTTATTTTTTATGAGACAAAAAGGTATTTCATTTTAATTCCTCCAACTATCATGCATTTCCACTTTTCTTCCTCCCCTCATCTCCATTCTCATAAATATCATTTTACTAGAATTTCATTTTTCTGTTAGGATGTACAGGCTAACTTTTGCAAGTTGTTGAATTCCCTGAGACATCAAACATTGAGGTCCCTGAGCCAGGTTTCCAGAGTTGATTCCTTACTTTTAATAAAGTATAATATCTTATTTTTTTTCTAACTTAACCTGATTATAGTAGATGAGGAAATACAAGAGCCAAAATTATTATCTTAGAAGTAATCATACTAAAATTAAAAATATTATTTTTTCTAAAAATATTTTCCTAAAAATAATATTTTATATTTTTAAAAAATAATATGCCCTAAAAACATTTATCTTTACTACAAAATTTTACATACCTATACTAAGAACTACCATACAGCTAATTCCTTACAGTCCAACAGACTTGAGTATTATACGGTACTGATCTGCAGCACCTCAAATCACTTAAGCAGTAAACTGGTTTAAATCACTGTTTAGACCAAATTATAAGATAATAATGCAAGACCAGGACATTTATGGAAGGCAGTACCTAAATGGTATACAAAGAGATTAATGCCCTATGTATTCCACCACAGAAAACAACTGAAAATTAAAGAACAATCCACCTCCTGGAGAAAAAAAAAATACTGAATTAGAGCAGAGTGGGAACAAAAGAAAATGGGGATGGGGAAAAGGGAAAGTGAGAAGGTAGAATATATTGTCTTAGTGACATACCTCCTTAATGAGACTCATGAAGCGAGTCCCAAAGCGCCAGGGTTTGTGCCGATTACACTGTAGTGAGCTGACAGTCATCTGTGGAAACTGCTGGACAGCCACTGACACCACATGAACTGCATCATACATTAGAGCTGCATCGGTCTGAAATCAGAACGACATCAGGGCCATGAACAGAAAGGAAAGCATATGACAGACCAGTAGTGAGAGCAGGGAAAAACAATGTCACACTGATCATCACATTGCAGGGAGAAAACGGTATGATTGCTTGTGCAGCACTGTCAAAAACAACCTTATCACCAACCTCTACAACAGAAATGTCAGGAAAATCACTCTCAGCTTTTTTCTTTTTAATCCTGAAATAAGAGCCCAATATCAGCTTTTCAGGACCACATTAGTATTCTGGTATCTCTGGTGACTTGTTTATTTTTTAAAAAAAAAAGTAAGTTAGGGGGCTATATAAATCACCTTATGCACATTTGAGTCAAATTGGGTATTCCCACGAGTGAGGAGGAAATAAAAACAGTTTAGTAAGGTAGCAAGACCTTGTCTAGGAAAAAACGTACACAAGATAAAAGACTAATGTTTTTCTCTCTTAGAATTAGAGACTAGATACAGTCCCAAAGGTGCTTAACTGATTCATTAATCACTGCTTAGGATATTGTTTTAAATTGCCAGGACTGACCTAATCAATATCTTCTACAAACTGGAAGCAAATTAGAGTTGCCTACGCTCATTTTAATTGTTTTCATGTCCCATCCCAAATAAATAGGCCATTTAGACCAGGTACATGCTTACTAATGTTGTTTTGGCACAGGACTGAGACTGCTTCTCTGTACATACTGTCATGCTGTAAAAAAAAAAAAAAAATCATGCATCTTTCCTTTTCTGTTTGATAAACAGGGGCAAGCCTTGGAACCAAAAGCAAGAGAGGACCTTGGACTCATCTGGCAGAAATGAACTCTATGCCATCTGCTCAGCATACCTTAGAGAAAAAGGACCTATTTCCCCTTCTCATTCACGTAATTAGTGAGCTGTGAAATTAGTTCTTTAATGGATAGGAAACCTGGAGATTACTGCACTTGTCACAATACAATACAACGCAATACAAAATGAGCTTATATAGTGCCTTTCATGCAAATGCATCCCAAGGCACTTTACAATAAAACTAAACATAAAAATGCAGAAGTGCTTTATCATTATAGGCCATAAGCTACTGTTAAAGGGGAAAATATACGTTTACATTTAAATGGATCTCCCAAGGAGAGATCTCAAAATTCAAACAGAAATAAATCCTAATTTTAAAATAACCAGTACAATAGGTTTTGATGATCTCACATGCCAAGCAGCTTATCCAGAGACTCCAAATCAGTCAGAAAATCTTTTCCTGCCAAATTGTTTGTTATCTTTAAGGCATTAAAGTGCTTTTAAGGCACACTGATATGTGATGAGCAGGCACTGAAACTCTCAGAACTTCGAATGACATGCTGAGTAAGCGTCATACAAAGCTTAATTTTCAAGTGGCAGTACTTGGCAGAAGCTGGAGTCCAGAGAACAGTTTCTTAAAGAAACAATAAAATAAATACAATGCAGTAATCTGTCTCATAAATGCAAATATTATACATTATTATTATTATTATTTTCTATCAGTTTTATTTCTAAAATTGTAGTCCTTTCACCAGCTGAAGGAAATGGGAATTGCTGGAATACTGTAGCAAAAGCACATCATTAAGAAGCAACCAGAAATTCAAAAACATCATTAAGTGATTATTTAGATATACATTTAGACATATAAATGATAAGAAGCATTAGCAGGAATCAAATGGACATTATGCCAGATGCAGATTGACATGGCTTTTTGTCATATTCTTTAAGCCACTGAGCTGGAAATATGTAGGATGATGAGATAGTCTACTCAAGTGAAAGCTTTAAGAAAGTCATTACATGTCCAGAAGTAATTTGAATTCTGATAATATTCTTCATACTTGACTGATGAATACTACTTCACTGGCAATAACTCTAAATCAGATTGTACTTCATCTAAGCATGTACAACATATAGTAATAATTGCTCACATCTGTATGTTTTATTTTATATTTAGATGATACAAAATAAATCAATTATTTACATAGGCTCAGATTCCACAAGCCTTCCTTTAGAGTAAGATTAAGTTAAACACATATGTTTGGCCTGAAGATAGATAAAACTATATGCTAAAAACATAATCGAATCATAGAATCATAGAATGCTTAAGGTTGGAAGGGACCTCTAGAGATCATCTAGTCCAACCCCCCTGCACACTCAGGGTCACCTAGAGCACATGGCACAGGACTGCGTCCAAGCGGGTTTCGAACATCTCCAGAGAAGGAGACTCCACAACCTCTCTTGGCAACCTGTTCCAGTGCTTGGTCACCCTCAGAGTTAAGAACTTTTTCCTTAAGTTCCTGTGAAACTTTTGATGCTTCAGTTTCCAGCTGTTTCTTCCAGTTCTGTCAGTGGGCACCACTGAAAAGAGGCCAGCACCATCCTCCTCACTGCCTCCCTTGAGGTACTTATAGACACTGATCAGATCCCCTCTCAGCCATCTCTTCTCCAGGCTGAACAGGCCCAGCTCCCTCAGTCTCTCCTCATAGGGCAGATGTTCCAGGTCCCTGATCATCCTTTAGCCCTACACTGGACTGTCTCCAGCAGCTCCACATCCCTCTTGTACTGTGGAGCCCAGAACTGGACACAATACTCCAGATGCGGCCTCACCAGGGCTCAGTAGAGCAGCAGGATCACCTCCCTCGACCTGCCGGAGATGCTCTTCTTAATGCACGCCAGGATCCCATTGGCCACATTTGCCACAAGGGCACACTGCTGCCTCATGGTCAACTTGTCGTCCACCATGACACACAGTTCCTTCTCTGCAGAGCTGCTCTCCAGAAGGTCGGTCCCCAGCCTGAACTGGTGTCTGCGGTTAATCCTCCCCAGGTGCAGGACCTTGCACTTGGCCTTGTTGAATTGCATGAGGTTTTTCACCGCCCAGTTGTCCAGTCTGTCCAGGTCCCTCTGGATGGCAG